TCAAATTTTAATTTTTAAATGTAATTATTTATATAATTTTGATATTCATTTCAACATCCTTATTTTAAATTCCTTTAAGGATGAATATGACCAAGATGAAAAAGTAGAGACAACTTCTAAGGGAGCTTCTATTGTTCTTGAAATAAAAAGTCAAAGTTGATTAATTGTGTTTGGGCTTGTTTTATGGACTGTTAGAAATTATATATTATTAGTAATTTGTAAGTTTATAATTTGGTTTTGATTTTGTTGTAAGTGGACTAATTTCTATTTGAGAGTAAAGAATACTAGCATTGATGAGTGAAGTCAACGAGCCTAGAGTTGGTCGAGAATACTCACTAGGAGCCATAAGTGGTTGATCACAGAATACTAGCGTTGATGAGTGAAGTCAATGGGCCAGGAGTTGGTTGAGAATACTCACTGAGATCTAGAAGTGACTGATCAAAGAATACTAGCGTTGATGAGTGAAGTCAACGGGCCAGGAGTTGGTCGAGAATACTCACTAAGAGCTAGAAGTGGCTGAGTAAAGAATACTAGCGTTTGGGAGTGAAGCTGACGAGCCAAAAGTGGTTGAGAATACTTGGGACCAGGAGTGGTCGTGACCTGGGTGGTGTATAATACTCACTGCGAGCCTGAAGAGACTGAACAAACAATACTTGTACCTCATTGATTATCTAGTGGAACCCTTCATTTGAAGGAGACTGAACATAGCTCAGTTTGAGTGAACCACTATAAAAATACTTGAAATAATTTTGTTTCTGACGCACTTTATTTGGTTAATCTAATCCATTGAAAACTTCTTCCAATAATTATCGTCTATCAAAACTATCTTCAGATAAAAATCATATTGTTCAACTTGTCATCCTAGAGAACAGTTTTTGTTTAAAGAAGCATTTATTTTAACAGACGATGATTATTAAACGAAGTTAAGTTTATAATCAGTGTACCCTCAAATATTGAATCATTTGTATTTAATATATAATACTTAATTTAAGTTTATAATATTTTAACATATCTATTAACTTATTAAAAAAAAAGTTTTACTAGTGAAGCAGAGTCAAAGCGTCATGCTATAAATAACGAAAGTTAATTTAGTTAGAGATATCTTTCAATTTTGTTATTATATGATTTCTATAATAACCATTTTGTTGTTTCCTTGTCATTTTGTTTTTACTATGTTCATTAATCAGACTTTAGGGTTTAGGTTTCAAAGAGATCATCTACAATATTGTTTCCTTATCATTTTGTTTTTACTATGAGGTTTGTCTTAATCAGCCTTTGAAAGAAATCATCCACAATAATATTGATAGAATTGGCTTAGAATAAATCGGAAAAAGTGTAAATATATTTAAGACAAACCTCATACTCTAGCTTAATATCTTATTGATATATGAACTAATTTAGAGATAAAAAAAATTAATAAAAAACAGAAAGTATCCCTCACAAGTATTTGAAAGACCTGAAGTCTCCCACTATTGTAATTTTTCAGTCCAAAGTTACAATCTCTATTCCCTATTGATTCCAGTCTCTCACTATATCAATTAATTATCCACTAGACAAGTACTATTATTAATAACTCCATCATACTAATATTCGAGTACCACTTTTCCTATCCATAAGAGAAAGTTGGTAGGGAAAAATTTAGTAGAAAGCATTAAAATAAAAATTAGACATAAAGTGGTGAAAATTAAAACAACAAGAAATTATATGGAAATCTTTTATTTTATTTTTTTATTCTAGAAAACAAGATCACGCAATTCTTGAAACACATGTCATGACACGCTTCATACATTATTATACATGACAAACTATCATAATTATCTCAAATGACCAAGTTAAAGAGAGTCCAAAGACAATTCCACAAACTTGTTATGCAACGACCAAAGCCAACTTTAAAAGGAAAAGATACAGCGCCAATGTTGAAATTGCAATTTGGAGAATATCCAAATTTCAAAACACTTGAAGCCCAATTCCTATACAAATTCAATGGCACAATATTAGTTGAGAACATTACAATGGCAAGACTTGAAGCCCAATTCCTATACAAATTCAATGGCACAATATTAGTTGAGAACATTACAATGGCAAGACTTTTGACAGTGAGTTTTTTTTTTTTCTTATTATTATTAAATATCTCTCAAGGGAACAAAACAATAACAGAATTTATTGTTACAAACTAGATGACCTTATCCATAATTTTTAATATGTGGTGTAGAATAAAAATAAAATAAAAGGTGACAACAAATAAAAGACTCAAAACTACATATTCTATCTTAAGAAATCAAATAAAATATTTTTTTTATATATAGAGATGATTTACGCAGTGCCCCAAAGTTGATATCAAAAATTAATTTATATTCATGATACATGATTTTTCTAATCAAATTAACATTATTTTAATATAAACAAAAATTAATCTGAAAGTACAAAATCGACCCTTATGTTACGGAATAAGCTTTACAACTACTGGATTAAAAGGTATGATAATAAGCTACATGATTTACTCATCCTTTCAAAGATTATTTTAATTAAAAAGTATACAGAAGTGAAAGGAAAAAAATATTGCCCTTTACTCCTTGAGTCTTCAGTATAAATTTGTTTTATCATATATATATTTGTTGGTCTAAAATAGAAGTAAATATTAATTAATTTTACTTTATTTAATTTCAATCGATGTTTTATTTTTGTACCTGCTTGAGGCTACACTCGTAGTCTTCTGGGGTGTAGGAGGGCCGAACGAGAGCTTTAGGTGGATTCTTCGGAGGGGGGAGGTACTTGCAAAAGACACTTCAACGCTCAAGTCAAGATATGCACGATTTTCTAGGGCAATAAATGAATAGTGACCTACCTCGTTACGTGTGACCTATTTATAATACCTGACATGGGCCTGAGCATGGTGGGCCTTCTCTGACATTTACCAAATTAGGTAATACGATGTTAATTGGCTGATTATGTCTTAATCATGTACTTATCCTTACTAATCATAATCGTCGTTCTAATAGTTCACCTAATGGCCGAGCCGAGACAACACGGCCGAAACGTCCTCTCTCGGCTTCTGGCCGAGCCGATAGGGGAAGAGCACAGTTCTTAGTCCCCTGTCGGACCGAAGTGGTATTCGAGCAGTATCATCTGATAGTATATGGCATGCCGGTCCACGTGGCCGATCCACGTGGCCGAGCCGAGATGTTACCTGAGTTGCGTCAATATCTGATAGGACATGACGTGCCGGTTCACGTGGCCGATCCACGTGGCTGATAGGGTCCTTCCGGTACAATTTTCAATATCTCTATATTATTCACCATATCAAATTTTAATGAAGAGTAATTTAAGAATAAAGAGACACATAAATACATGTAATCTGAATCTCATACCAGAAATATTAGGAACAAAAGCTATACCTTTTTATGAATTCTGATGTATTGAGTGATGATGAATAACGCGTGGTCATTTTCTGAAGTAATCAGTAAATTTTACAAGGGGCACATGTTGGATGCTTGGGTGCTCTGGTCGTCCATTAGGAGCAATGCATTGCTCGAATTCACGTGGCATATTAAATAGATTGAGAACTTCAAGTTTTTCCAAGTGTTGGATGCCACAAGGCACATTCTTGAGTTTGGGTATTTTGGAAAGTTCAAGTGTTTCCAAAGAACACAGTGCTCCTTTATCAAAATTGATGGAATTCAAGTTGAATAAATATTTGAGACGTAGTTCCTTTAGTCGTTGAAACCCCCCTTTTTGAAAATACAAACTTTCACCTTCATAGGCATAGGGGCCAATGTAAAGGAACAACAAATGAGGCATATTTTGTAGTGATTGCAATGGATCCTCAGTTAATTCAGAGTATAACAAAGACAATTTTACAAGATTTTTGTTACGGGATATTTTGTAAATAAGCAATAGGAGAGTATTTCAATTGTAATTAGTCAATGAATAGTTAGAATAACGAACTTCCTCAATTGGGAAGCTGTTGGACAGTTATATGAATAAATAGCAGAGGACCCTCTTGAGGAGGCCATCAGTATTTTGCAATAACACTCTTGAACCTCCAATTCTCTCTATTAAAATTCGGAGGCTTTTCTTCATTGGCCTCCCTAATCTGTTTCTGTAATTCTTCGATTCCTATCCTAGAATTACCATAACAAGTGGTATCAGCCTGTAACCTTCCCGCGTGCCCAACCATGGCGGATGCTACACGAAATCGAGTTCTTGAACGAGAAATTGAGGATCGCGTGGAAAATCGTATTGGTTCCAAGATTGATGCAAGATTGATGGAAATGGCAACGTCGATACAGAAAACTCTTCAAGAGTCATTGACGCAGTCATTGACCCTATCGATGACGCAGAAAATACAAGAGCTTCTTCATAACAACAGTTTGGCCGCGATTCATTCACCAGCTGGGGCTAACCCAAGTCGAGCCTATTCTTGTGGAACACATCTCGCTAGAATCGACTTCCCTCGTTTTTTAGGTGAGGACATTAAACAATGGTTAATTCAATGTGATACATTTTTTTCTATTGATAATACTCCTGACGAGTTTAAGGTAAGATTGGCAGTAGTACATTTTGAGGGGAAAGCTCTTCAATGGCATAGTTCTTATGTGAAATCAGTGGGATTGCAAAACTTACCTCCTTGGTCAGAATACACCAGAATTTTGATTGAAAGATTTGGCGAAGTATGTGATGATCCTATGGCAGAATTGATGCAATTAAGACAAAAAGGATCGGTAGTGGAGTATCATGAAGCCTTTGATGCTATTGTATCTCGTTTGGATTTGAATGAGGAGCACAGGCTGAGTTGTTTTTGGGGGGACTTAAACAAGAAGTTCAAATGCTTGTTAGGATGTTTCAGCCAAATTCGGTGAGACGCGCTTTCACATTAGCGAAAATGCAGGAGGCAGTAACTGTAAATGGATTTGTGGTTAAATCTTGGACTAAACCATCTAAATTCGAGGCTTCTTCCAAGCCACCATTATTGCCCACACCCTCTAAGCCTACCCCCAAGATTCAAGATACCTTCAAATCAAAACAACAGACCTCTAAACCTTTAACCCCTGCTAATATGAGTGAAAGAAGGGCACAAGGGTTATGTTATTTCTGTGATGAACCCTTTACTCCCGAGCATGGATTAAGCCATAAAAAACTGCAGTTGCATGTGATGGAAGTGGATGAGTTACAAGATAATGAGGAGGACGAAGTGTTGCTAGGAAACTCCATGGGACCCAATTCTACAGATCCCCAAATTTATGTTCATGCCATCACCGGAATTGCCAATTTCCAAACCATGCGTGTGACTGGTTACCACAAAAAGAAGCCTCTCCATGTTCTGATTGACAGTGGCAGTACCCACAATTTTTTGGACATTGAGGTAGCTAAAAGGTTGGGTTGCAGGATTGATGCTTTTGATTCCCTGAGTGTGGTTGTTGCAGATGGCACTAAGATAAATGTTTCTGCAGTAGTTAGAGGATTTCAGTGGACAATCCAACAAACCAAATTCACTTCTGATATGTTGCTCATTCCATTAGGGTGCTGTGATTTGGTCTTAGGGGTCGAATGGCTAGTGTCGTTGGGTGATATTGTATGGAATTTTAATAAGTTGCAGATGGAGTTTTATGTTCAGGGAAAGAGACATGTATTGAGAGGAGCCTCTTCGGGACTGAAAACAGTTAAGAAACAACAATTGGAGAAAGCTATGGAAACTGGTGTTCATTTGTCATTTTTACAAGTGTGTGATGGCCAAGGTGGTCTTCTAAATTCTCTTACTACTCAGGCTGTTGTTGCTGAAGTCCCTCCTACTGTTGCCAAATTATTGGAGGAGTTTGCTGACCTATTTCAAGAACCTAGTGAGTTACCTCCTAGCAGACCGGGTCATGACCATCAGATTCCTCTAGTCCCAAGAGTTGGGCCAATTAGTAAGAGACCCTACAGGTATGCTAAACAACAGAAAGATGAGATTGACAAATTGGTTCAGGAATACTTGGCAGCTGGTATAATTCAGAACAGTAGTAGTCAATTTTTAGGCCTACCCAAGACATGGCATTAACAAAAGATCAATTACGACTATGCACCTATATTTTTTACCCTGACTATAAACTCAGGTTACCATTTCCATAACTCCTTCATCCTATATTAAATATTTACAACTACAATTTTTTTTTACTTATTTTTGTATTTCTTTTCTTGTAGTGAAGTACTCCTAAAAATGAATTACATAGAGGTTACAAGACAATAATTACAATGTTTAAGTCCTGGAAATAAAATCAAACGTCAGGTATACGTATAAAGTTAATATTTCATAATGTTTAATCATCTACAACAATACTCATTACCTTTTCTGCTCTCTAACCTCATTAGGTTGTTGCTTGGATGTCAATGAAGATCACTGATATGCAGGAAAAGATTACTGACCAAACCATTTGGTCTCTTCCTCCTGAATTTGCGGTAACCTTTCATTGTTATTATTTTTCTAACATTTCTTTTTTTTCCAAGTCCACAACCCAATACACTTTACTTTTGTTTTTTGACTAATAATTTTCCCAATTTGTAAATATTATCATATAACTTTTACACTAAAATACTGTAATTTTAATTATCATTTCTTTTAAATGTACAATTATAAACTTGAAATAACATCTATTATCAACATTTTCATCATTAGTTTTCCTTCTTTACTACACCTAATAACATGTATCAAAATTGTCATATTTCCAGAGAGCTATCATTGAAGGAGACACAATTGAAGACCTATTGGAAACATATGCCAAACACTGGATGAAACCATATAAAAAATTAAAATATGTATACTGCATTCCATATTTCTTTCAAATGAAATACTAAACTATTTATTTAACTACATTTGATTTACCCATTTAATACAATATTTTGCTTTTCATAGATATATGTGCCAATTGAGGAATATAGCGGACACTGGTATTTGATGGTTCTTAGCTTAGAAGACAATGTAATATACCATTTGGATTCTTATCTGAAAGAGGAAAGAATGGCTCATAGACGTGACAACATGATGCGAATAGTGTCACAATTAACTCCAAATAAATCAACCATGCTAACTTCACTATCAATTTTATACATACTTTTTTCCTCTTTCAGTCCAACGTCATAATACAAATGATGGAATCAAGTTTTTATCCTCAACATTTTGTTAAAGAATTAGTACATGGAGAAAGCTGGGATATTTTGCAAGGAAGGGCAGTTCCAAATTGTGGCCATAGGTAACCAATACTAATTTACTTTGCATTTTTTTGTTCGTAATGAATTTTACATTGACAATTTTTTTTTCCAATGCATAACAGTAACAACTCTATTATTTGGGTTTTACAATGGATGGATATGGAATATGCATTTCAACCAAACTTAATCAAAGTGGTGAGCAAATAATGCAATACATTTCAAATTACATTTTATTTTACTTATGCATATTAATATATGTCAAACAATGTCACATTTTCAGAGCCTTGATGAAGAAACTGTTCGAATGAAAATTGCGTTAGATTTGGTTTCCGGTGATCATAATGAATGTAAACGCACCATCCACATCAGAGCTGCGGAATTCTGTCAAAGTATTGGACTATCATAAATTCAATTCAGAAAAAACAACTTCATGAATCAACCTACACGTTTAGGATTAATATCATAGGCTGTGCTGCACATTTTTGGATCCTTATTCTGGAAGAAAAAATTACTATCACTTGGCCCAATTATTTTTTGATTCCATTTTTGGATATATATATTGCAACAGATCCAATATAATTGTAACTTTCTTCGCAAGTTTCAAAGACTCAGCCAAACAATCATATTTTTGTGTATCATATTTTGTGATTTATTAAATGCAATGAATCTAATATAATTCTAATTTTAATGTACTATTTAAACATGCTTTTTATTATATTCTACATCCAAAAACACATGAATCCATTTTTAATCACATGCTTTTAATAAGTATTCATTACTGACAATATTAAACCAGTATTTATGCCATTAACAACTTCCAATCAATACCTAAATACTAATTTCATCTGCTACAAACATGCAGAAATCTATACCCGATTACCAAGTATCAAAATTTAACGAACCAATATATTTAAAATCTATATTTACAACCACATAATGCAACTTCAAACCGCTTCCACCAACATACACTAACCACATTCAATTCTCCACATCACCCAAAATACGTGCAACCAGTCTCATTTGTAAATGTTTTACATCCTAAATGTTCTTCAACTAAAACCACATTCTAACTTAAACCACACTTTAGGACACAAATGACCATAACTATAACCTATCTATCATATTTCACATAACCAACCCAAAAAATATATACTTCCCATACCAAATCCATACTAACTAATCTGTTCAATTTCACGTTTCAACAAATTAACATACAATATCAACTAACAAATACATATCTTCATTTCATCAAACTGCTACATATCATTTATAATTCCTAATCAATGCTTCTTTAAGAAGACAAATATAATCAACCTCAGTTTTAAACACCATTCTCCTTAAACCATCAATTCATTTGGCCACAACTTTTGTAAATATTAATAACACACCTCAAAATAACGTATTCTGCTACAAACGTCATTCATCAACCACTTCGAAAACTATCACAAAATTTGTATTCTGCTAACATACCCAACATTCTACAATAATTCACAAGATTAAGGATTACACAAAAAGCTAACCATCACGACCACATCCTCATAAAGTCTGCCTACTTATTCCACGTTCTTTAAGTTGTCGCTGTATCTCTGCATTCTCTGCTTCAACTAACCAAATTTTTTGTTTAACAATCTATGGGGGCACATACAGCATTACAAACGTATACACACAAAATCATGAATCAACTTCATAAACTTCCTAAAACAATAACGTACCTAAAATTGCTCAAAAGCCCCACCAACATCATGTCTGTAAAATACAACCTCACACTGCATTTCCTCAATCTGACTTCGCCTACTCTGCATACCACGCCCCACTGTCTTCCATTCATGTAAAACTATATTTCATATAATCAAATCTAACAAACATCAAATTTGTCAATAACATTTTTTACAAAAACGGAAGAAATCCAGTAACAAACATATTTCAATGCTCAACAAATAATACCATTACCCTAAACACAATTTTCAACAAAACCAAACTCTAACCCTACATTCACCAACCTCTAAACCACCACATATGTTATCTTAAAATTACAATTAAAAAAAAGGTATAACAACCAAACAAAAATGTAAACAAACAACAAAACCAAAAAAATCAGCCATCAACGATGTTCAGCCCACCACAATTTTCTTCTTCTACGCAATACCCTCCACTAACGCATCATCAATCCGCTCTTCCGACTCCACAATCAACAAACCCCTTACCTCAAATCTCCGCCTCACGGAAACTAAAATACCGACCAATAATGCATAATGCCTTTGTCATTTGCAAAACGCTTCGTTCTTTACAACCCATTTCTTTAGCTCTCAAAAATCACTCAAACGGATTTTCAGAGGGGTTGCAGACTGCGACAAACAAAACACCACCACCGTGCGCCGGCCGACTTCACCCATGGTTGCCAACAAACTACCGCCACAATCGTAACAACCCACCTGCTAAACGGAACCCTACACAATACAAAATGTCCCTAAATAACAAATTTCAAAGGACTACTCTGCAATTGTTAAAACTTACTCATTAAATTAAATCTCAACCGTTTACTTTTTTTAACATTTAATCTACGGTCATTATTCATTCACCACCCATGGACCACTTGTTCAAGTGGTCCGTCAGAGAATTTACCTTATTATTGATATAATTCTTGAATAATTAACTAAAATGTCCAATTTAAAAAAAATCAAATACCTTTAAAACAAAATAAAATGTAGTAAACATTATACAAATTATCATTCAAATAATCTTATCAAATTAATTAAGTACTTATTTTAAAAAGTAAAAAAAAAATCCAATATCTGAACTTTTGATAACTTTAAGCTTTTTCTTTTAAAAAAAATATGAATACCAAAATACATCTTAATTTAATTTTAAATCTATAAACGCAAATGAAGGTAATATTGAAAATCAAATCAAAATTTATTATTTAAAATGATAGCCATACATCATAACTTTTTGTATCTTTTTGAATATATATCATTTAAGTGGAGGAAAATTTGTATTAGGCTTTGCACAAATAGATGAGGAATAAAAAATACATATTAACATGATGATATTAATCAAAGATATAAAAATATTCAAATAATCAAGTATTTTAAAATAGAGCTATCTTTGTGAAAAGTGATGAGTAGAGAGAAAATGACGAATCATGTTATTGATAAGTTTGTGAATGTGTGATTTAGAAACTAACATACTGAATTACTAATTAATAATTTATAGATAGCAAGTGCAGTTCTATGACAAAAAAAAATTGGCTCAAACATTAAAATTCACATCCAGTAAACTATATAACTCATAGGCGCTTACTACATTGGACAAGTTTAACATATTGTCCACCGCTGCATAAGTAAACAATAATAGTTTTTATTTAAATTATTTAAAATTACTAAAAATATCCTTTTCTTTTTTGTAATTCAACATCTTCCTCGCACTAGTCATCATGACTGTGAGGTTGTCGCTCCGTTTGTGGTGGTGCAAATTTGCACCAGCCTTTGCTAGCAGCTTCATGGAGTGCTCCAAGTCGAGGCTGTCTAACGAATCTGAGCCAAGATCTAAAAGCAAATTTGCCACATGTACCTATACTCATGTGTAACGTCGCGAAGCCGTTACTCCGATCATAGTTGTGCAGATTCGCACCCACCTTTGCTAGTAGCTTCATGCAGTGCTCTAAGTCGAGAACAATGGCGAGGAGTGTTACAAAGTTGTTAGTGTCAACATCATAATTGTTGTCGAAGTCAAGGTTTGTTGTCGTTGTCAAAATCAAGTCACTAGGAAGAATTGTTAGGGATTTGGGGCTAAAGGTTTAGGGTCCAAGTAGTCCATCACAAGAATATCATCTTCGCGCAATACTGCGATACGGAGAACCCATCACCATTGTTTGCATCCGACTATGTCAGCAACTTTGCAAATGACACCAACTTCTTTGAACCCTCTAAGGTGTCTTCGCTGTTATCACCATCAAGCTCTATGCTTTAGAACGACGTGTAGTACCATGGCACAGAGAACCCACCGCCATTATTCGTGTTCGATTATGTTAACATCTTCGTGAACGATGCTAGCTTCTTCAAACCCTTAAAGGTGCCTTCACCGCTGTCGTCGTTGTTGCCGTCAAGCTCCAAACTCTGAAGCATAACCAACCTGAGGCACACAAAGACCTTGTTGGTGTTGAGATCAACCTAAACCTCAGCACTGTCACAACACAGAATAAGCAGGGAATTGAACAAAATGATTGAATTTGGAAAGGGATGATCAAACAAATTTTTTTTTTAACAAGATAATCATTTACTATCAGAAAATAAAATTAATACATTAATAAATTTTTTATCACCAAATAAATATGAATCGTTTAATTTAATTATTCATATATTTAACGGTATCTTTTATTTCTTCACTAATAAACCGCATAAAAATTACACTTTATTTTATTGCTCGACCCAAGAACCACACGATGTATGGGTATGACATATGGGTATATCGTAGATTTTGCCTAACTCCAAACAATTTTAGTAAAATGTTAGATGTAGTGTCTCCCTAAAAAGATATTTACTTGATATTGGTACATTGACATAAGCGTATGACTCCACAAAATAATAATAAAAAAAGTGAATAGTAGGAAGGCTATTCTTTCTTTTAATAGATAGATTCAGTATGAAAGAAAGTACAAAATTCACAAAGGCAATATCTAAGAGCACAAACTCAACCAAATTAAAGCATAAAAATAAACGAAAACTCCTTGTAAACATTTCAAGCTTATGATATACGATCATCCTCTTATATCACTTCAATCAAGCAAGCTACCACTACACACACATATAGAGAGAGAGACATACGCACATATATACATAGAGCCAATACTATCCCCAAGTTACAAAGTTTCTTCGAGAGGGAGTGACAAAATAAACTTGTCATTTTGATTTCACTACGCTTAGAAATACGTTTCTGTTCCGATGTTGGAGACCATCGCCGAAAAGCATGTCAGATCGACATTTTGCCGACCTGCTTTGGTTGGTCTGTGGGAGACCCTCACGGTACAGTTTCTATTAATGAATATAAGCCTCCAAAAAGCATCTTCATCGGAGTAAACTACTTGGTCCAAAAAATGTTATGTTAATCATCTACAAAACTGGCAAAATTATGTTCCATAGTTACCCAACAAACTAACATCATTGTATAAAAGCATTAGAGTAAGAATATGACATAATCAACATATTTGAGAAAAGAAAACATGGAATGTTCATCTTATAAAATGTGACTAGCAATCAATCTCTCACAAGTCACAATTCATTTCCTTCTTTTAAAATTAAATTTTGAAAGAACAAGGCCAAAATATGCATCACAAACATGTTCCTCAAATACAAAAATTACAAATCAGTTCCAAATAAAGGAGTAGGAAAACATTTGCATCAGCATAGGACCAAAGTCATTAACATAGGACCAACATTAGCATCAAGTTTGCCTTGTATTTCACACACAAGAGAGTGGTTGGCCTTATTTGGTCAGCATCAACCTTGGGATTCAATGGGTTAACATACTGGCCCATGACAACTGTAATAAATGCAACCCCTTAAGATAAATAAAGTTCTAAAAAATATAAGAAAATGAAATTGCACCCATGATACCATTAGCTATAGCTTTCGGCTTAATGCAAAGGGCATGATGATTGAATAAACAGAGATAGCAAAACTCCCAATCTTTGATCATAAAAGTCGATTCTACTAAATCCCTTAGTACATTATTCTTAAATATCTTCATTTCTTCATCAATTATACTGACTTTGACTACCAATATTATTTGTGGAAGTAACCTCCCCTTATTTTCTAGTTGCTCCCAAATAATTTAAACATGCTTGGAACTCAGATCCAAAGGACAGAATTCTCCTTCTAAAAGTTTCCCCTTTATTACAACAGGGCTAAACTCTCCCTTTCTTACAACAGAATTCGCCACTATAAAATGCCACTTTTCTAATTTCTCTCCGTATTTAAGCTAATTCTCAATTTTTATAACTTAAACTGCTGAACTCTTCTAACTCACAACTCTCTGGACCTATCAAAATCATAAAGATCACCCGCAGTTGACAAAAAGTTCAAATCTAAATGTATTCATGATTTCATGTAGCAGTATGCACTAACAAGATACAGGGACAGTTTTTTGTTGAAACGGCTACATGATAGTAAGACATCTTAATAGAATTTATTTATCAAACAATGATAATGGAAGCACAGCTAATGCCTTTTGACTTTGGTTACTGATCCCCTCTGCGTGCTCTAATAAATAAGGGACTTCATCCAAGATATTTTTTTTTTTATACAGTTCATGGTAGTTTGAAACGTACACATGCCTATCACATGTCACTTCTATTTAAAATAAAAATAAGTATACTATGGTTATGTGATGACAGAACAAAACTCAGATGAAACAAATGTTTCCCATAATGGATAAACACATTTAAAATGGAAAAAAAAAAAAAAGGGGAGCGATAAAGATAAATTTCATCAGAATTACCCATAGCTAACAAATACATAAGAACTCATCTTTTAATGTGTTGTCTGGAATGAATAGAAATAAAGAAACCAAAATACTGAAAATGAAAATCACCAATAAGCAGATTCATACACTTGATTATAAAACCAATCTGTTATAAATCTGACCAAAAGTCCCTCTACCAAAGAAAAAAAAAATCGTAAAATGATATTAAAAGTAAAAGTAAATGAAACTCAGTTCAATTTAGCACTCAAACGAAGACGTTGAAAGTTAGGACTACAGTCTGCAAAAACCTTCAGAGACCATATTTCATTTTGATGATTGATTGATCAAACCATTGTAGACATCTGATAAGAGAGTCAAATCATTCTGAAAATTGATGATAAATTTCATCAAAAAGTTTTGCTCATTCATGCACATAAAGGTACTGAAGTGCAAATCTTTCTTAAGCAGACCTTTTGATTGCAAGATTTTAATAACTGAAAATCTAGGGATGATCCTCTTCTCCAAGCTGTATGTCAGAACCTGAGCATATTCAGCAATATCTTCTGATGGCAAACCCATATCATTCACTAGGAAACTCATTTTTTTTTAATATGTCTCCTTTGACAACATCATAAAAACGGGAAACTTCCTAAATGCTTGAAGAGCCAATTTGTGGTTCCAACCCCACCTCTCATAAACCTTAAACTTTGAATCCTGCATTGTTTTGTTAGTATTTAAAAGCACAACGAGAGCATATATTAAATTTCTTTTCAATGGATCAAACCCAATTCCCCTTGCTGTCTTGAGAGCTTCCAAAAATTTGGAATGCTTCATATATGCTGTACAAGGAAAATGGACCATCAAGAGAGAGATGGAAGCCTGAGGCACACTAGATTGCCTCAAAACATTAATGTTTGGAACCAAGGTTTTCAACACGTCAGAATATATAATACTATTTGCAGCACTTTTCAAAGTTCTAACAACTTTCTGATCATCCTGAACTATACCCCGGAGGATATCATAACGTGGGATGAGGAAATTTTCCAAGCTACACATCAATATAGCATGGTTTCGAAGCAGAATCTTAGGAAGATCAGTATTGGAAACCCCAATAGATCTCAAGAACTTGAGTTTAGGCAAAAGGGTATTTTCTGCCTTTGCAACAAGCACCAAGGGATGCTTTTCCACAAGTTTTGCAATCTGGGTTTTGGAGAACCCATAGTTGCTGAGAAGATCAATAACAGCATTTGGGCCATCTGGGGTTTTCAAATTGACCCTTTTGGAGAGTTCCTTGGCCAGTGTTGGGGACACCCCACATGAGTTGACCAAGTAAGACACTGTAAAGGTGTCACCTTTGGGGTGGATTGCACCAGAAGTGAATGAATTGAAGAGAAAAAGTGAAGCATTGTGTTTGTGTTGCAGCAGAGAATGTGAACCCAATAGGAAATGGGTGCTCTTGTAGCGTGTTAATGATGATGCAATTAATCTTGCAATGAGAAAATTAGGCACCATTTACACACTTACAGGTTTCAATGCTTCAATCTGAAGCACCTCAAGAAGTTTGTGTTAGGAACAAGTGATATTTGATGCTCCACACCATAACAGGGTATGCGATTCAACGCTGCAACCACTTCCTCTTCGCTGCAAAGAATCTTGACAAAATGTTATAATAGGCCACAATGCAATTGCTCAAGCTACTTTCAAAACGCAGAAAGTTTCCAACGATGATTTAGGAAATGGGAAAATGTCTTACGTTGAAAGTTGAAACGCTAATGGTGTAAAGAGAAACACCCCTAAACACTTTCTGATATACTTTATATTACATTCTTTTAAGTTTTACTTAAAATTTATTATTTGTTAAGAAATATATAATTTAATAATTTTCGTATTTTGTTTAATGACTTTTTTAATTTTATATATTTTAATAACATTTTAATCGATAAAAAGAAGGATATTAAGAATAATAAATTAAAAATGGGTAACACTCCTCGTGTGAGTAAAAGACCATCTCTGATGGGAATGGTAGTAAGGGGTTCTTAATTTACCTTTTTAATTCATGTATATTAATTATAAATTAAAATAATAATTCATGTAAGTTTTTAAATTTCAAATAATAACATGTAATAAATGAAATATTAAAATATTGAGTTTTAAAAAATCATTTTGTTATAGTGATAAGAAGGTTATTTAGTTGAAATAGCTTGTTACTCTATATTTTTTTTATCTTAGCATTTTTGTAATTCTCAAATTTCTTTCACTTATATATGTTTTTTTAAGTTTCTACAAATATTGTTTTAGTCTTTGTAAAATTTTTATGTCATTTTTAGATCACTAGCATTTTTGTACTGTTCTTTTTAGTCATTATAAATAATCATAGTTGGTGTAGCACTAAAATTGTTAATAAAATATTAATTAAGATAATTAAAATAATAAAAAAATAATTTCAATTAGTTCAATAAAAAAGAATAATTTAAATTAAGATAATTATATTATTTTTACATGCATAAGTAAATTAAATAATACATTTATTGTTTTATATAAATAAAGTATGAAAAATACTATATTAGAAAAAGAATAGTTACTTGTTTACACTCCTGATCTCTAACAAAGATTGGGCACTATTTTCAAAAATAATACTTCCTACTAATGTCATGTTAAAGAAAATAATTGTATATGTTTTATTTTTATAATTTATTTTTAGTCTTTAATATATTATGAATAGTGAATTTTATTACATTTAAGTTTATTCTTACTTTTCAATTTGTTAAGTTTTTTTAATATTGTAATTCTCTTAAAAAATATTTAATTTATTTATATATTCATAACATATTTTTATTATCTTACTTTTAATGCTATTTTAAAATTTCAATTTATTAATTTGGATTGATTGTAAAGATAGAAGTAAAATATTAAAAAAAAATTATAAGTGTATAAGTAAATTACAATTTTTGAAAAAAGTATAATGCTAAAAATAAATTAGTAGATTGAAATGTAAGAATGATATTAAAAAAATAATGAAAATTATTTCTTTTTATTAAATTAAATTGTAAATATATTAAAAATAATAATATATTAAAAAATAAAAAGTAATTGTAAATTAAATTATGTATAAATATCTTATTTATATAAAATAATAAATATATTTAATAAACTAAATTATGCATGTAAAAATAATTTAATTATCTTAATTTAAAATATTATTTGTTACATTAATTATCTTAATCAATATTTTATATTTTGTTAATCATTTTAACAATAGACTAACTATAATTTGGAATGGTTTGGTTTTGATGAATTTGGTTTGGACTAAACTAACTATAGTTAATGATAAGGATTGAAGTGAACACTAAAATATATATTAAGGATTTAAAAATAAAAAAAAATAATGTAAGAACTAAAATAAAAAAACAATATTCACAAAGATTTAAAACATATTAAGCATTTTTCTAACAATTTTCAAATTGAGGATTTATTTTCGATAAATCAAAATAAACCCTCAATTCAAAATAATTCATCAATTTAGAAATTGGTAAAGAAAAAAAATTAAGAATTACAAAAAAAAAAAAACGAAAAAAATTTACATAGAAAACATTGAAAACAAGTATAAATAAATAATAAGAAACATAAAAATAAATAAGTAAAAAATAAATAAATAAAATAAAATAAAAAATGGTGGATTTGAATACAAAAGGTTGTGTAGAAATAATGAATATAGAATACAAAAAATAGAAAAAATCTTATTTCAAACCAAGCTATCTAATTGTTAAGAATAAATTTTTAAAATCAATATATTTCAATAAAGTGATTACTTTAGTGGAAAGAACATATTAATTGTGACACCCTTTACCCCAACATACATATACAATAATTATAAAAACATATTCTCAGAGTAAATCAATCTTTTGAATTAAGACAATAGTTCCTCTAACATAAGAGTAGAGAATTCACATTTGTAAACATAAATCATGGTCAAATGCGGAATTTACATGAAAATGGAACAGGAGTTTTTCCAAAACAAAATAACAATAATGAAATAAACTAAGCTTAACTATGTCTCGATGTCACATATTCTATCAAAGCACGCCTAATTGAAGCCTATGCCTCATCACCAACATCTTCATATTGATGGTTACCTGCAACACAATTTAAACACATACAAAGAGAAATAGGAGTTAACGTGTAAAAATAACAGGCAGACAACACACACACAAATCATAACAAAGCACAACACAAAGCACACATTAATCAAGAACGACCCAAGTCATACATGCATTAGTAGCACATACACAGTCACTCATTATGCAATGATGTCATGAACTCAACTCATAAATGTATGCATGTGGCGCCAATCACATATTCCATATCACTGGTGTGCTGCCTAAACAACACACCTAAGATAGTCTAGGAGTACATGCAGGGAGCTACCCATACACTCTCAACTAGAGGGATGTACTATTAGGGTCTGGTTGGGATAGCGAAGCTGCACAAGTTACGTCTCGTGCTCACAAACGGGCGGAATCCAGACATCCAAACCGCACTATCCCCTAGGACTTCCCCAAGCTGTTACACAAGGAGGGCCTTTCCTAACAGTGTACTCCACATCGTACCCGTCACATAGATTCACATGATGCATGTCACACATTCATACTTCATTAACTCATCATTTCACTTGTCATAGTTACTCATATATCATGCCTCATTGTCACATATCATGATGTCTCATGTCTCATATTCACATAGCCTTATACAAGGGACTTCTCATAGGCATATACATTAGAATAGCACACAAACCATTACAGGAAATTATTCAACTTAATACACATTCAATTCGCAATTTATAACATATGAAGCATAAAGGTCATAAACCCAACTTCATGATTTCATGCATTTGTTTACAACTAGCCAAGTAATATATTATTTCAATAGGTCAAAACACTCCAAATGTTACCCAAAGCACGAATCCATCGTCAACTGTATATATAATGCCTCAAAATTCATCCAAAGATTATATCCCTAATTTCACTTCATAGGGTTTCCTACAAGAACTCACATAGCACTCTAATTCATATCAAAACTTGTCTATTTTCGAAATTAAACACGTATTTACACTCGCAAACATCAAGGAACACAACAAAAAACCCAGAAGGCAAAACAGAAAATATTCAAAATTTGCCTATTTCTCATAGGATTTCTCGTAGGAACCCATAAAGCACTCTAATCCATATCAAAACATATATATTCTTGAAATTGAACGCATATTCACACTCAGAATCACACAAGGAACGCAACAAAACAATCAAAAAGCAAAACAAAAAACTTTCATAAAAGTGCTTGTTTATCATAAGGTTTCCCGTAGGAACCCATAGAGCACTTTAATCTATATCAAAACATATCTATTCTTGAAATTGAACGCATATTCACACTCAGAATCACACAAGGAACGCAACAGAACAATCAAAAAGCAAGCTAGAAAACTTTCATAAAGTGTTTGTTCTTATTAGGCAAGGGATTAGGGGCAATCTTGCTATCCAACAGTTATTCCCACACCCCTGAGTGAGATTTCACTCCCCCCTTACCTGGATGAGTAGAAGATGAAGTGTGTGCAGTTCCCCAATGATCTCCTCCTCTTGGTTCTCGAGTCTTCAGAGCACGTAGAAAAGAAATAAGAGACTAGTCCGGAGAAATAAGAAGCGTGAAAAGTAACTCCTGACAACTCCCTTCTTAAAAATAAATAAATAAATAATAATAATAATAATAATAATAATAATAATAATACTATTTAGCAAAAGACCACTATGTCCCTCCTTCCCTTCTCATAAAATAATTAAACATATTTCCTCTTTTTAATAAACAACATAAACATAATTCTTCATAAAACATATTTTTCATGAAAATAGTCTTATAGCAAATAATTCAAATATTAATTAAAAATTATTTTTATAATATATATAATATAATATAATATAAAATAGATGAATAATATAAAATAGATGAATAATATAATATATATTTCTCCCTTCTAGTAAAATAACATACATTTATATAAAAATAAAACTCATATTTACTAACTATATAATATTAAAAATTCTTTTAATAAATACATTAAAACATTAAATAAATACTGACATATTATTAATATGATTTTATGAAAATCAGGGTGTTACATTAATCATTTGTTATATTTAAGACACAGGAACCATGCTAGTTTGGTAATTCTAAAACTGTATTAAACTAATTAACAAAATCATAAAATGTTTTTCTAATGAATTTTACTTTTCTCGCTACATTATAGAACACATTAACACATGACTTTTCGTGCCCAAGTTTTTTTTTTCACAATATAAAACTCTATAAATATTTTTCTGTCAAATTAATTTATTTTTTCAAATTTAAATATATTTTTAATCACTATAATATACATAATATAATTTTTAAATTAAAAAAGTTATTAAATCATTTTAGCTTCTATAATATTTTTATTTTAAATTTTGGATCTTTGTTAGAAAAGATTCATTAAATGATAATGAGATGAATGAAATATCTCATCATTGTGTCACATGTCATTCTTGTAAAGGTGTCAAAAATGGCATGACACGATAG